CGCTTTGTGGATGAGCGATTAGCCATCACACGTAAAGTCCGTGACGCGATGGCAAGCGCACAGGACAAGCAAAAACAATATACAGACCAGCATGGTCGCAAAAACAATGAACACTTTAGTGTGGGGGACAAAGTGCTATTAAGTACTGCTACCCTACCTAAACATGCAATTTCTGTACTACCTGGTGTTACTACTAATCTATTGCCCCGATTCATTGGGCCCTTTAAAGTGGTTGAAGAAGTTGGAGACCTAAATTATAGGCTCACTCTACCACCGTATATGAAGACGCACCCCGTATTTTACGTTGTTCGTCTGAAACGGTATGATGATCCAGAAGAGATCACATAACCACATCGGTCTAACGAGACCGATGGTGAAGTCGACTGTGAGTCGAGCGTCGCGACCGATCAGGCGACGAGGAAGCCGAAAGGCTCCCCGTATACGAACGAGGCGATAGAGGACTCGGCGATCGAGGAGGACTCCGCGCTTGACGCGGGTCTCTCATCACCAGTCGCTCTAGGATGTCCAAAAGGGTCTTCAGGCGGTCATACCCCTGACGGTCCCTCGTCTTCACATCGCGCAGATCCGAGTTCAGTCGCGAGGCTTGACTCTCGAGATCTGTCACCTTCCTCTTCAGCGCAGCGGACTCAGCCTGCGACTGAACAGCAGCAGGGTAGGCAGCCGCGAGTAGGTTGGCGTAATCGCCACTCCTATCGGTCTCCACCTGTGTTGGTAGACGCGGGTGGGAACACGCGCTTCCTTGTTGGAAGGCTGTTGGCCCACCAGTTTGTGAAGCGAAAGCACCAAATCCTTGTCCAGTGGAAGGGTTAATCAACGATCTTTGACTCGTGGGAGCCTGTGGACGCTTTGCGCGTTGACGTGCCTGGGCTGGTGGATGCTTATGTGAAGCAGCACCAGCTGTCTTCTTTCTGCTAGGTCCCGAAGGACTAGCAGAAGAAGCGTGGCGAGAATTAATTGGGGGTTGCTTGCCACCCAAAATTTCATGCGCACGCTTCATGGCGAAGCTGATTCGCTGCGACCGTTGTTTCGTTACATATACATGCAAGGTAACACGGCGCAGGAGATCAACTTCATATTCGTCGGCTGTTGCGTTAGAGCGCAGCACGACTGGAATTGGGAAAGCACGACCAAGTGCTTTGCCCTGCTTTTTCCACAAGGGAAAGACGCTATAAAATGTATGAGCGTCAATAGTGGCACGCTGCAAAAGCGCTGCACTATACCCATCCGAGTTCATCCACTCAGATGGAAGTGGCATTGGTGGCAAGCCACCACTCACGTAGTCGCCCTCACGACGGCGGCTAGTGAGGCCGAAGGTGTACTTGGTGGATCTTTAAGCTCACACTCACCTGAGTCTGACTCTCCATTATGGATTGTCAAGACATCAGCTTGAGGAGTCACATCTGACTGAGTCGCGACTTCTCCTTTCGAAGTAGCGTGCTCAGTCTTAGTCGCTGCGCTCGTAGACGAGGCTTTACCTTCGCTTAAAGGAAGCATAGACGCTCCCTCAACGACGGTTGCCTCAAATGATGGGGACATATGTCCCATCAATGCGCTTTGCTCATCGCCACTTTGGGGTGATGGCAATGGCTGTAGTATACAATGAGATGAGGATCTTCATCCACATTATAGTGAGATGGAAGATTCACCTTAGTGCCTGAGGCACTTTGCGACGGCTGCGATAAATCGCGGCGCGTGCGCTTAGTGCTGGACTGTATGGGTGCCTTTGCAGGCGGCCCATCATCCTTACCACGTTTCGGTGGCATGAGAATTAAGTAGACTAAAGCGGCGCGTTTATAACGGCTCGCAGGTCTCTCTATCTCCTGACCGATGCTTTACAAAATGTAAAAATCGTTCTAAAACGGGGGGTGGTGTAACAGGTCATCTAGTTACTCGTAAACATAAAGTTATATACTTAATGTTTGGTCTAAAAGCATCCATGATTACTTTTGACCTGTCACTTGGGTGCGATACACAAATGTGATCCACCCTCGTGAATGTGATATTCATTTATGGATTCACATGGGAAGAGATGACGCTAGTTGAAGCTAGGCATCGCGACGTCTCAGAAGGACGTCAGTTGCGATCTTAAATCTACATTTAAGATCATGCGACAGGATACGCTTCTAAAGTCGCGTATCCGATCTATATACATATATAGCCAATCAGTAGTTAAGTTTATATTTAATTATAATTCATTAAATATAGCTCAGTCTTGAATTTGCTAAAACACCGAAACACCACGCACGAGAAGCCGAAAAGCTTCTACGTGACGTCGGTGCCTTCTTGTCTTAGAAGTTCGTTGCACTCTCGCTTAAGCGAGAGGCAACTGGTGGTACGACTGCTTAAGCAGTCGACCAACCTCCTAACCACCCTCGCACGCGAAGGTAAGACGGTCTAACCGCTTCCTCGCTTGTGCTGAAGGTGTGTGCTAGTAGCACGAGGCAACTTCGTAGAAGTGCTCGTCTACGCGTTGACTTATTATTTAGCTTTCTTCACAATTAATGACAGGCAAGACAAAAGGATTAAACAAGGTGGCTCTTCTATCGATGAAACAGCAATGACGGAAGATCGTAAACTTCATTAGATTCTTATCGCTAACCTCGTTATTGCATGGAAGGGTTCTCTCTGACGCATTTCAATTCTGTCAAAGAAGTTGGCCCCTGCAAGGATGTTTAGTAAGAACAAAATGTATGCAAGTGAGATTCTGTAGCGGAGCTACACAGATCTTTAACCAGAGGAAGACTTTCAGGCTGAAGGCCTCTTAGCTCTATAAAACTAATTAAAGTTGACGGCTAAAAGCCACTTAGCGCTAAGGAACTAATTAAACGACTTCAAGTCATCCTGTTCTAAGGAACGAGGAAAGAGACTTTCAGTCTGCAAGCAATAAGCTTAAGGTTCAGAGAACCAACGCACAGAGTGCAAGAACGAGCTAGAAGCTTAAAGGTTCAGAGAGCCAACGCACGAAGTGCACAAGAGTACAAGTCAGAACGACTTGCGTTTTTCAACTCAAAATGAGAACTGATTTTATTTATGCATTAAGATTCTATGGTCCCATAAGATTTCATGGATAGTCCTACTCTAAGTACACTACACTAGATTAATTACTATAACAGTAACTATAATATGCAGACTTTGCTATTGGACGACGTATCGTCTAAACATCTGTGTATGATGTACTTAGTACAGCGTTATCGATTATCGAATTCTAATCGATAAGATACGGTATTACCGAATACCGTATCTTTTACGCTCATACTTAATACCTCTCTAAAGAGAAGTATCAAAAATGCATTACATGCAGTAAAAGGAAACTTCAACCGTAAACTTTCGGAATGATGTACCAACCGTCGTGTAACCCCGTTACACTAAGTGCTCTACACTAGATCAATTACAGTTATAGTAATTATAATATGCCATTGCTTGTATCTGTATATGGAATTATCCAAGTATCAGTGTATGTTGTACGAAGTACTACTGTTGCAATTATGGAACCGATACCGATAGTATAAGGTATAGCTAATACCTTATAGTATCACTCATCTATAATACCCCATTAAATGCCATTTCCAAGCAGCCCAACAAGTGCCACTTTGATTTATTCGAGCTACTTCATGTCGGCAATTAAGGAATAATGGAAGTCGAATCGTTTTATGGCTGTAAATATCTGCTGCTCATCGTGACGAAGGCAACAGGTGTATGAAGGGCCTGTGTCTGCGCGCCAAGTTGTAAACAAAACAATTTTTACTGTATTTATTCCGCTCTAAAAATTTACATTGTACACTGTAAACGTCCCATGACACCTGCTTGTCCGTTTTTTTCACTTGCTTGTTTCAGAAGCATAAACACGCTTTGAGAAGGGTGCAAGGCTGTTTATTGTGGTTTAAATGTAGATGAAGTTTTTATCATATAAACGTCCTACTTCTACTACTTCCACTTGATGAAAAAGGGGGTGCTGAACATGCTGACAATCAAATTATATATTACATCTAAGGTGTGGGCTGGTTCTCAAAAAGGTGAGGGATTAATATCGCCTTCCTTTTGTTAAAGAATGCTATTTGCACAAGTCTATCTCAAACTTTAAGCTACAACGACGTTACCTCTTTACTTTTCAATAGTGCCGTGTCCATTACTCTCGACAATCTCAAATTAACGTTTTGTGTTTGACGTATATGACAGCAAGATTCTCCGCCCCTTGTCTCAAAGCAGATGGCTATAAGATTAGGTGATGTCATTCGTTAGCAATGTTTTCCTTGCGGTTTTCGTCTAGAAATAATATATAGTTCTGCAAATATCTCGTCTATTGATACTACTACAAATCAAAATATGACCAATAAAAAAATAAAGCAGACCTAGATAATAATACTACCCATTATTTACAGTATACTATCCAGATCTCTATCCATACAAAGCTCAAGATAAAGTTTCAAAAGAATCCCCCCTCGATAACATTTTCGCTGTGCTACAAGCTCTACTAATGCGAGGTGATAATATACATGTCCCGGATCCATTGACTACCGATGAATATGATATTCCAGTATCAGTCATCCATCGTCCACAAACTGATCTCCCCGTCTGGCAATATATTCACAAATTAACGGCACCTCTTTCGAATGCCAAAAATAGCGATCGTCCCTATACCCACATTTGTATTTTATGTGCCAGTAAAACACCATTGCAATCAATTGGAAAAAAAAATTCAAGCTGGAAAAATGCCTTAATGCGTCAACGCATGTCCACAAATGCAGTGGCACATATGCGACGTGTGCATCCCGATGAATTTCTTGCTATTGCCGACCATAATCTTCGTAAACGAAATGCATTAGTCGAAAAAAAGAAATTGGAAAAAATGAAGAAATTCTTCCAAAAAAAAGAAAATCAAAGTCGAAACAAAGAAAAAAATGATAAAAAGTCGAACGGAGGAAATGAAACCAAGTAAAGGACTAGATACAGAACTACTACGTACTGGACGTACATGTACAATGGACAAGACGGTGGATCTGATGAAAAAGTGGCTACTTTCGTCAGGATTATCCATTTCTATACTACAAGATGAAGCTTTTCAACATTTTATGAAACAATCGATATCTGGGTATTTTACTTTACCGACTATGGTGGATGTAAAGAATCAGGTGCAAGATGAATTTACAAACTTTAGCAAGTTATTAAAACCATATCTGGCTGCAGAGTTGCAAGCTGCTAAGGGACTACCGTTTCTATGTCTTCATCAAGAATTTCGACCAATTGCTCAGAAAACGACCGATGATGAGGCGTTGAATCCGAAAAAGGCTTTTTTTAGTCTTGCTATTGGTTTCATTGACTCCCAGTGGCGAAGAGTAGACTTGGTACTTGCAGTAAAAACAGTTAAGCGTGATTGGGACAAACAAGTGAAGCAGCTTGTGACTGAAACTGTGTCAAAGACGTACGATATCCAGTCAATTTTAGACTATGCACGATTTCATGTGGCTGTTGATGATGATATACTGTCAAGCCTTGGTGCTGAGGCAAAATACGAAATCTCAAGTGATGAGGAAGAGGACTTGCTTACACGGTCACTGCGTCGATGTGTGATTGATGCACTGGGTGTTGGTCCTGGCAGTTCGTTTGGCATTGAGACGAACGTTCGCCGTATTTTGCGCTTACTTCAAGAGCTGGTGAGATTCTTTGAGTTACCTGATCAGACCCATGCTCCGGCTGAAGTTGATGCCACTCATGATGCGCACTTGTCATTTTGCTTCACTTCGTCGATTGAAGATCTGACATACGCCGCCTCGACTTCGTTTGGTGCGATTGCGAATCTCCTCAAGGCTAGTTGCGCGCAGTTTCCTGTGTACTGGTCCTATTTCAATTCCGCCGTGAGATCGACAGCAACTAAGCCTCAGTTAGTGGAAGCGTGGACGCAGCTTACTACGGAGGATTGGCAGACTGTCGCGGAAATCGAGGCGATTTTGAATCATCTCGGACAGTTTCGTCTAGAAGATCGTATTGCTCCAAGATTGGGAGCAGTGGCACCATCGTACGCTATGCTGTTCCGACGTCTCCTTTCAGTCACAACCAATGCCTCTAGCTTCAAGTGTTACTCAATGGATGAACCCGCCGTCGCTTCATCGCTCGCCAAGAGTGCCGCGCGCCGTAAGGCCAAACGCGTGGACACATTTACTTCAACAGGCCGACAGTGTATCCTGCAGCTTCGTCAGCTCATCGCACAGACTTTCGCGAGTCCTTCGACTCCGCTAGCTATTGCTGATGAAATTAAAGCCATGCTGTTGGATCCACGCATCAGTTCGAAGGTTGCCAATCTTGTGACGGACTCTCATGCTTTTCATTGCGCTCAAGAAGCTTTGCGCCAAGAACATCGTGCTGCCTTTGAGCTGCTTGCAACTCGTAACGGTGATGGGAGCCCTAGTGCTAGTGATGAGATTGAAGATGACGACGACGACGACGATGAAATTAGTGCTCTTCTAATGGTTGATGGACCAAAGAATCAGCCGCCTGCTGCATCGTCCACTTCGACCACTGGTAGGCGTTCAAGTGATGCCGTAGCCGAGGATGAGATTCGCGCTTGGCAAGAGTGGCAGAAAGTTTACGTCGCGTGGGATACTCTTGCGCACAACGGGGCTGACTTGTTTGATAAGGGCCAGTACAACTTGCTAAAGTTGTACCATCACGTGGATATATTGAAGTGGTTCCGTGATGTTGGCCAGCAGGCGCATCCAGCGGCGTCACTGCTAGCGCGCATATACCTCGGCCAGCAGCCTCCACCGTTTCGAGCTCTAGGATCGTCGCTCTTGCGCTTCAAAATGCAGGAAGGGACTGACTGGGTAGCTGAAGCTGCTGAGCGAGCAGAGAAGCGTTGCATGCTGCACCACAACTGGCACCAGTATCAACAACTAAGTGCAAGCACAACACTATTGGCCGTCAATAACGAGAATGTCAACACGAGAATTCCTTGACAAGATCATCCGTTTGAAGCAGTCCTCATTCACTCGATAACAATGCACGAGCGGTTTGTATCGATGACCTACGTGCTCGAGTACATATGAGGTAGTAAGTTTCTCAAAATGAAGGTTATGAAGACTTAGACGAAGACATTTGAGCGAGACGTAGTTTTGATCTGTTGACTGTTTGGAAAAGGAGCTAAGAAATTTGAAGCAGAGGAACGTAGCACTAAAGAAAAAGCTGCTACTAAGGTTATCGAAGAGTGAGGAAGCTGACGAAACGATGGAGAGCTGTTTGGAGATTTTGTAGCGAGGATAATAGAGGTGATGAATTGCTTCGAAGTTGTGGGAATAGTCCGGGTCTCATTATCCTTGAATGACAAAAGAACGGAAGCCGCACAGGAACGATTTTGCATCGATACTAAATCTTGAACATTATCTCGAGGCATCGAACTGTTCAGCTTGAGCATTGCTCAATATTTGTATTTGTGGGATGCAGTGCATGGTAATGTACGCGAGAAAGTGGGCTGGCCATATTTACAACCTCTGCAGCGCATACTGGTGATGCATGAACACTCAGCGTTCAAGCAATAAAAACCGGGATGAGCTACCGATCAGTAGTCACAGGTCAAGTAATTGTCCAGTCAAGCGTATTGGGTGGTGGTACTCAGGTCGACCAGGTCAAGCGCAGAAAGTTGGACCGAAGAGCTTAACGAGCATGTAACTGGATGTGAACACAGCACTTTTGAACAACAAATTCAAGGAAACAGTCTACATGGAAGTGCTACAAGCGCTTGCCAAAGCCCTTTAGCTGCAAAACATAGCTGCCTCTAGATTGTAGATATATGAGGTCTAAAGTCTAGGTACTTATCCAATGCAACTGCATCCACTGGTTTCATCCGTTTTGTGTCTATCCAGCTTTGTTGGTGCTAGCAGTTGCAACCTGTCCATCGCTGTTCCACCACAAACAATTCGTCTTGCTCTGGGCTGTCCCATTACCACCGGCAAGCCAATCGCGCCGCGCTTGTCACTTTCTCTTTTTTGTAACAACAACAATCACGAGGCTTGTGCGACTTCTGTTGCGGCAGCAACATCCGAGTTGCTGCCGGTCTTCGTCGACTGCGAGTCGTCGTTGCTTGTGGTAGACATTGGCTGCGTCTTGGTGAGGCTCGGCGAGTTCTTTTTGTTGATCACCACTACTTTTTCCTCATCCACTTTTGTCGTCTCCAGCACGCCATCTATCTGCTCGACAGGCTCGACAGTCTCATCGTCAGTTCCTGTCCAGCTCAGCGACGAGCAGACAGACACAGACACACCAAAGTCTGTGGCCTGGTTTGGCCGCAGCTGAGTAAGATCAAAATGCGACCCATTTGAAGACAAGAATGTATCCAACATCTCGTCTTCCTTCTCAGTGAGAGGTTTAGGCTTCGAAGATCGTTCAGTAATGCTCTCGGTGGCAGACATGGGCGACAATAGATTTTTACGACTGCTCTTCCCATCCGGCTCTGGAATATCTCGCTGCTCCTCATCAGGTCCGTCCATATAGTTGAAAGCAAAATCGTTGAACAGCTCATTACTCGAGTTCTTCACCGACGCAGGTGTGTCAATGGGGACCTCCACCGTGTTCATGTACGTCTCAAAGATATCCTCAGTACGGTACTCCTTGGCGTGCTTTTCCATGAGAGCATACTGACCCTCAAACAGCGCTTCCTTACGCTCCACACTGTCCCAGTCGAGTCCATTGAACCACGGGTGGTGCTTAATTTGCTCAAAACCATGCTCACCCGAGCCCAAACGGTCGTTTTCGTTCTTGGTCAGCAACTTGAATACAAAATCCTTCGCATCTTCATTGAAACGAGGCGAGAATTTCAAATCCACGTTTACAATTCGCTCCTTAATGAGACGGTTAGTCTTGGCGTTGAATGGCGTACGACCATCGATCATTTCATATACCATTACACCAAGAGCCCACCAGTCCACCGCACGCGAGTACGACTTGCCGCCGAACACCTCAGGTGCCATCATCTGGTACGTACCAACGAACGTAGACGTACGACCGTGGCTAGGCATATTCTCTTTAGACATTCCAAAATCCGTGAGCGCCACATGACCGTCGGAGTCCACCAGCACATTCTCCAGCTTCAGGTCGCGATAAATAATATCATTCTGATGCAAGTGACGGATAGCAAGCGCCACCTCGGCAGTATACAATTTCGTACGATCTTCTTGAAACCTTCGTGCTAGCCGCATCTGGTCCAGCAAATTGCCACCGGGATAATACTTCGACAGCAGATACAGCTTCGCCTCCGTTTGGAAGGCATAACACAGAGTAGCCACATACGGATGTTTGATTCGATCAAGAATGCGCCGCTCGGCGTTTGTCGCTTCTACGAGGCCACGCTGAATCACAAGTTTCTTGCGAATAGCCTTCATAGCGTAAAACACACCTTCATCGTAGCCGTGTTTCTTACGCACAAGCTTGACACGGCCACATGCACCACGCCCTACGAGTTTGACAATTTCAAAGTCTCCCAAACACACAGGACCATCATCATCCGCCATAGGACGAATAAAAACACTGCAGCGTTCATGTGCAGCAGCTGTTGGACTCGTGTGGTTTTTCGCACTGCGATTCTTACGACGTGGGTCAATCAAGCACGGTAGTGACTGGCACAATGAGCAGACACGCCAGCTACCAAAAGCCGGTACAAATTTGTCTTCACAGCAGTGACTACAGTACTTGACTTCACACCAGGAGCACGGGATCCGTCGATTCAACATCGTCAATTTACGATGACAAATGCCACAGGCATTAATCTTGTTTGCATTCACAGTGATTCCTGCCGCCTCACCTCCTCTAGCTGCAAAGGATCCAAATACTGAACTCTTGACCATCTCCAGTGCATAAGCACCACTACTGCCCAAAACATTGGACGGTACTGTACCTGCTGATACACAAATACAGCCATGACGAGTATGTCCTTGTGGAATTTTGTAGCCCACATCAATTTCCGAATTCAGAATCCAGGCGACTGCACGTCGAGCTAAAACTCTTCGTGCAAAGTACGAATCACTTTCACTGACATAATGTGAGGGTTCCACTAATGCTAGAGCTTTCACTCGATCCTGTATAACACCTAATCCATTGTCATAATTGAGTAAATGAAGAACCATCTGCGCGCCACGTGAGAAAGCAACGATAAAAACGTCACTTAATAATGGTGCAATCAATTGATCCCATGCATTCTCCACATGAGCACGTGGATGACAACTTTGTGCGGCTGGATTGAAAATCACGACTCCATAGTTCTCATTAAGTGCTTTTTTTAAGTACGACATCATCGAACCACTGTCACTGTCACTGTCAAATTGATTCATACAGATACTTCGACTCCAAATACCTGCTTCTCTGTATGGTACAATAACCAATAGTCTCTGTTTCTTTTCGTATCCATCTGATACATAAACAGTGCCTTGAATACATTCACTACATTGTGAAGCGTCTAAGCTCTGTCGATCAATAGCTTTATTGTAAACTTCCCAGGGTTGTTGTGTGTCTGCCACACCAGGTGACTCGACCGAATTGTGTGCACCACTTGAATCTGTGTCAATATCAGAAGCTTCTTGTCCTGTAGCTACGACTACTTCACGAAACCCCAGTTCTTTATGTAACCGTAGTTGGACACCACGAATCAATTTGTCCACAAAGACACATGAATCTTCTGCACTTGTGCAATTGGCTCGACCCAAACTCCCACGACGTCCAGATTGTGTGCGATGTGGACTTGGCATTTGTATATTCTTACTACTTGGAAGAAAAAGATTGTCAAAGTTATTCACACTTCCGAAACGTAAAGAATACTTTACAATAGTGATCACGAGGGGTTTAAAATATCGTCACGTACGGCGCCACCACCGGGTGATTCGGAATGGAAGGACGTGGTGGTGATGATTCTTTTGGGGGGATGTGGTGTCTTTCCTATGAGAGATACCGGTATAACAACAGCAGAAACTGGTTGTCGTGGTCTGATCAGCGGCGAGTCGGCAATTTTGAGCGAGAGGGGAGGAAAGGGATAGGGTCAGATGTTGTCGTGCATAAACATCATCACAACCATTATTCGAGATACGTGATAATCAATCAGAAAAGAGAGGACTTAAGGGGTATTATCTGCTCAGATGCTTGTGTTATCCGATAGTATTGTGAAATTTGATGCAATGATAAGGAAAGAATAATCAGTCTGGACCCGTAGTAATCTGAGAAGAGCCGGTTGCGCTGCACATCCAGTGATCTGATTTAGCATTAGTGTCAAGAAAATGACGCTCGTCTGCTCCAAGTAATACTTTTGTGTTGCGCTTGTTGGTGGTTGGAAGCTCAGCTTACTTGAGGCTCCTTCCTGCGACATAGCTTCCATTTAACCAAAGCCGAGAATCTGCTAATACTGTAAACTTTGAGAAAACGGCAGAAAACTGACGCACTATCCTAGCAATTGGGTACAGCTGCTTGATTTGCGTCATTATTATTTGTTGGCTATTTCATGCTCATCGTCACGAGAAACGACGTGGATTTAAAACAAAGCTTGGCTACTATTTACATCTGGTCCAGAGTCAAGGCCGACTTGCACATCTCTACGTACATGAGCAATAGTTCACGTCGCCATCGCGTGCGGAATAATGAAACGGATAAGCGAGCGGGGGAGAAAGAAAATGCTCGTCTTGCGTACTGTATGAATCGAAGGAAGCGACCTTTCGGAAGTTGAAGATCGTCAAAAGGGTCCATTTACTGAAAATTCGAGCTGGCTCTTTTCACTGATCTTCAACCTAACTTTTGATGTGGTAGACACCAAACCAAAAGAGTCATCAACCCATGACCACCACCAATGTGTTAATGACGGGCATCTCTCTACCTGCATGTTGCCGTCTACAGCAGCACTCAACTGCTTCCGATTTATTTTCTGTATCTAACACATCTTATCTTTTACCTGTCGAAATTTTACGTGTCAATTCAATAGCAGGGCTGAGTTACGTCGTTTGGAAGTGCACATCTCGTATCCCTTCCGTCGCCTCCTCTCAGCAGCGAAACAAAGTCCATTCGCAGTGGGTTTCACAGCATCAAGTGTCTATTGTCTATCCTGCATCACCTGATGCTAATGCAGCATTGGGTCGTGGCTCTCATGACTCGAAATTTGAGGTTGATAACCCTCGCGTGGAGCTCTGGAGCTCCCAAATCGGCTGTATTGGCCGTTTTACTGTCGCCAAGCAGTACATTCACCTAGGAGAAGAAGCATTCCAAGCTGTAGCTTTTGCTGTTATTGTACGGCAATCGTTGACCCATCAACGGTGTCACTGGTGCTTTGCATTGCTACGGACAAAAGCCCTAGAGTGTGGTGACTGTGCCTTCACACGGTATTGTTCCCGTGATTGTCTGGCAGCAGATGCAGAACTGCATGACTTCCAGTGTCAAGCACTTCGAGATTTGAAAAGGAAAGGGTGTGACGGCCATTTAGGGGACGTGGAGACAATTCGGTTGGCACTTGCGGTGCTGAGCATGGAGCAAATGGTCCGGAATCCTCAAGCTTTAAGACTGCTAAATGCTCACAATGAAGACGGGGATGACGCAAGTGATGTACAACATGCTGCAGAATTTATTGTCAAAAGGACGAATCAACATTTGGATCGGAAGCATGTGTCAATTACACTCCAGCGCGTTCACTGCAATGCTCATCCGCTCTACCTTGATGGTGTCACGTGTGTGGGTTCTGGTGTGTTTCCTGACGCAGCTATGGCGCTAAATCATTCTTGTTTGCCAAATGTGGCGCCTACTTTCAATCCACGTACTCGGACACTCGCCTTCCACGCTATTGTAGATATTCCGCGTGGTTATGCTGTGGAGTGCTCTTACATTGACTTGTTGCAGACGAGAAAGAGACGTCAAGAGCTGCTTGCTCGAGGATTTGGCTTTGTCTGTGTTTGCAAGCGTTGCACAAATGAAGCTACATTGCGCAACATGGGCCGAGATATAGCAGAAAGTGAAGAAGCAAACCAAGTAGAGACGCGAGTGATGGAGGAACTTATGCAGTTGGTGAATTCCGATTGCAGTAGCGTGAAGCAGCGTCTTTCTTGTTTAAAAAAAGAGTGTGCAAGTTTTTTTGAGCGCAACATCGAAGCTCGATTTGCACTTTACACTGTGAAAATGAAGCTTGCGAGTGACCAGAATGACTGGAAACGTGTAATAAAGACTGCTGAGATGCTGCTGGGTATTTGGATGCGATGCGGTCTACCAGACAATTACCACACTACCGAAACACTGCACATGCAAATTTATCGTGCTGCAAAACATGTTGGGATGACTGCAAAGGCAGAAGCGTCGGTCCAGCGAGTGGCAAGTATCCGGCAAATTTGTGGCTATTCACACCCTGATGCGGCCATTAAGTAAGTTGGGGTGAGTCAAGTGAACGATGTTTTAGATGTACACCGTTCGAAACAGCGCTTTACAAGCGGAATTTTTTCATGGTTGGAAACGAAACGCGACACGACAAGTAACGCTCTGACAAATTGCAGCGGCGCTACTTTCTGTCTCTTTCTGTCTCTTTCTGTCTCTTTTGCTCAGCATTGATACTCTTGGGGATTCTCTAGAACGATGTTGCCATGTTCTTTACGGAGAGCACCCCTTTGCTAGAGGTATGCGCAAGATTACTGACCTAGCATGGATTATTGAAAGGCGATGTGCTACAAAGCAGAGATGTAAACACACATGTTTAAGGTGCTTAGTCATTAAGTGCTACAGCAATATCGGTGCTAACGGAGCCACAGACGAATGGCTATCGTGGAGCGTTCACCGACAATTGTGCGCGCTATTTTCGATTGCGAATGCGTCGCTAAGTGCTGCCTATTCATATAAATTACCGTGCTTTCCGCTGCGTGAGAAATTTTGGATGCTTTTGTCAGCGATAAACTTGTTGACAATGCTGGACGACCGTGCTGGTATCGCCGTCCAAGTCCGTCGTGTGCTAACGTCGATCCAAACGCTGCAAGCCGTCGATGTATACTGGGAACCTTTACTTCTTACAGTAAACTTATACGTTCCATTACAGTATCCACATGGTCCTTGAAATTGTGATTCATGGCAATAAAAAGTCTTCATCATGGAGTGAAGATCGTGCTGAGTATTGTAGTGCTAAGCTCTGATGTGCTTCGCAACGACGACACATTGGACGAAAGCGAGGCCAATGAGGAATCGCAAATACTTGTGCCGTTAATGAGATTTCGCAGCGTGTGCTGCACTTCAACTGCAGGCGGACGCTGCTGCGGTGAGAAACTGAGGCAACGCATGACGAGCTCTTGAATTTGCATCGGACAGTCCATTGACAAAGCTGGACGGATGCAACCCGAGCTGACTAACAGCGCGAGTTGGCGCTGCTCGTCCATGTCATCGTCCATGTCCACGCCTGCCGCAAATGGCAGCGTACACGTGTCGAGCTCCGTAAACAGCACTCCTAAAGCGTACACATCCGCTTGTTCACTTGTAGATTCACCTCGTAGAATCTCAGGTGCTAACCACGCAACAGAGAAATCGTTGCGTGCAAATGTGGCCTGAACATCCAAAGCACGGCGTACACCAAACGCGCACAGTTTTGCATCACACTGTTCCGATAGCAGTACGCGCTGAGCCTTGAGTCGTTGATGATGAAGTGTTAAGTTGACGCCTGTTGGTCTAGAGTGCAAATACACGAGCGCATCTACAATGTCCAGTGCAAGTTGTGCCTTGGTTTTCGGCATTGAGACGGAATGGAACCAGCCAAAGTTGTATGCGTTGCGGGGCCGCAGTGTCAGCAGCGCTCGCAAATCCCCGTTTGGCATGAATTCAGTCACTGCTGACGGCTGTGCCTGATTTGTCATGTACGCCGGCGATGAAGGCGAGTCGAGGTCATAGACATGCCGTGTGGGGTCATAAAACCCTACAAAAGCCACGATGCGTGGATGCAACAATGAAGCACTGAGTGATATGTCTGCCATGAAGGCCTGACAATACGTCTCCTGATCTGCCAGTTCCAGAAGCAGGCGTCTTACGACCACCTGACGATTGGTCTGGCCTTCTATCTTCAAAGTAGCACGAAAAGTCAAGGTGAAACTACCTTCATGCAGCAGTTCACCGTTCACGACACTCTGTGGTGGCAATCGACACTGCTCCAAAGCCAGTGTGTTGCACGCCAGTTCGTCACTCCAGTCACCGTTTTGCACTAGCCAGTCATACGTCATTGGCGACAATGCTGTAGCAGTCGTCGTAGCTGCACTGCCAGACACTCTGGTGCCTTCCGTACCGAGCTGTTCCAAAAGTTCCATTGACGGTACACTCGACATACGTGACAATTGAGAAAACCACTTGCGACCGGTGCCGTCAGCTACAATCGCCATAAGGCCTGGTGTGAGCACGCAATCCCTGTACTCGGGGGTCAGCACGCCGTCCATATACTCAGTACTCTGACTGTGGCTGTTCCGAGGTCCATTGAAGCGTTTGCGTGTCCGTTGACAACACATCCACCAGCTTCCTATTGCAAGGAGAACTACTGCAGCAGCTATGATGCCGATAATCAACCATATCGAGTCTGACAACGAGCTGACAAAAGATCCAGAAGAGCTTGACAATGTCATTTTCAACACTAAAGAAAATAGATTCAGCGTACCCCGATCGACTCAAGTCAACACGAGAGTGAGACGATCACAAAGTCTTCACTACTTTTTTTTCTTACAAACTATCAGCTCAAGATAGTTGACTGGCTTTTGCTTTACTCGTCTCTACCGAGATGTATGTAGTTTGTCGATTTGACTCACGAGAAATTGCCGTGCAAGCGGAGAAGTCAGCTGGTATAGCATGACACCTAACTTCCTTTGAAGTTTGCTGACTCATATGGTAGCACGACAGGCACATGTATGAGACGACTGTACATGTATTCGAGCTGAATTTAACATCGTAATCACTAATATCTGAATACATGGATGCTGTACTTATTTCCTTCCACCCGGCCGTCGTTCGGACGCGAAACTTTGACGGTGGGCAATAGCCCTCCTGTTCTCCCATCCACGGACTTGCTCATCGGGAAAAATGGCACTCGACATCGCCACTGCGCTTTCGACCGAGTTTGCAAAAGCTATCGCTGGAGGATTCTCACCGAAGGCATCATCGTAGGCCACTAAACGGAGATCGAACATGGCCAAACCCGCCCTGTCACTCTGCACCAAGTTGATGATAGAATACACTGGTTATACCATGGCTTACTGCCGGAGCTCACTGACAGTTTGCCATTTAATAGACATGCGATTATTCGCGCTATTTGAACAAGTGTGGGATCATAGTAATGGTCTCACTCCATATCAAGCCTCGACAGGGAACCGGGTGACGAGGAGACAATTAGATCTGTATTACGCCGTGAGAAACGAAGACACTAGTTGCAAAAAGACACCGGATTGCAGCGGCAGGAAGGAGACCATTGTCCATCTGTTTTGGGAATGTGATTGCGCTGCAGCGCTTTAGAGAAACTCATTGATGACTGGACCGGGCAGAAAGTCACCTATCAATTGACCCAAAACTTTCTGGGAGCTTGTGCCAGTCGACGAGTTGACGGCACGCCCGAGCACCGCACGAAAATCCTAGCGGACCGATTTCAGGATGACGCCAATGAAGCCGAACGCGTCTGGACACAAATTTGGCATGTCCTCGCGACGACATGCCAAACACGAATTGGGGTAGACATATATGCAGCCGCCTTCAAGGCTGTCACACTCCACATTCCCAGCAGCATCGCCAGTTTTTGGGCCTCGTGTCTTTGTCAGCTCCGAGCAATCGTAAAGAGAGAGCGTCGAAAAATTGCGTCAGCTACACATGGTGACTTGCTTTATGCTTGCATTGAATTGCGTGAGAGCGGCTACCGAGTTCTACGGTGGTCAGCCACGATATACCGCTGGGCCATCAGGCACTGACATCCTGGCTCAGGACATTCCAGAGATCTTGCACATAGTTAACACCGTGTAAATAGACAATCTGAACCTGCTGTACCCACATCCTGCATTCTTCTACTTGCTACCGTAAGGCTCGTAAGCACCAAAAGTAACATGTATTACACCAAAACACAATGATCGCGCTACTATCAGCACCATTGGCAAGTCATAGCCGTCGGTATAGAAACGATCACAGCTCGGCAAGATTCTTTCTTGCTATTATAGATCTCTAACAAACGTTAGTCGACCTACCTGAGCGGATCTCGCTCGAAGGTGTACAAGTACAATAATGTAGCTAAGGCCTGGGGCAAAAGGTATGTTTTGTCAACAAGCAGTGTGTAGCAAGCAACCCACTGCTTGTTGACAAAACATAAGTCTACGCCCATGGACCTTTAGAGAAATGCTCACAATAAAGCTTCTTAGCAAAGTGAAGCTCAGCCTAGATAGGTGAACAACGTCAAGATGTCTTATTGACACCATCGAATTGTGCCAAAAGAAGATTTAAACTTACCTACGGAAAGGATATTAGACAAACACCATAGTCTCTAGTGCAATGCCGCGGTTTACAGTAACTATCCCTTCCCTTTGATTGATAGACGTATGAGCGTGCGAGGCTGAATGACTTGTACGATGGGAAGCCTCTTCTTATTACAGTGAGGTTTTTGACTTGGCTACTTTGTGGCAACGGGTAATGGTCCACCCCAAAAAAGCCTCCGTCAGATGATCCAATGTGTAAATGCGTTCGATACAGTAGCGTTGCATTCATGCTCAATAGGATGACTAAAAGCTGTAGATTGACGAAGACCAGAATCTGCGGCTTTATGACCATATCGGTGTGGTTTGCACACAGAAACGGCTGAAGATAAAATACTAGCTACTGATATCAAGTTGCGCATAGTATCTTCAGTTTATGCTGGTCATGTTTATCCAAGGTAATGAGGAGTTCAAGTCGGGTAGCCGTTTACTTGAAGACCCAGCCAACGATGGGTACCAGCAAAACTACGAACTAGTCAGACTGACGACAAGGGTATCACGCGGTGTGCAGCGCATCATCACGAATATGATCTGAGTCTATTCGCTCGCACTTTTAGTCTTGGCAACGTATTGCTTTGTTCACATCGAGCAAAGCTTGCGGTATCCGTTCTGAACTGTTGCGCCATTTTCTGCGGTGATCGTGTGTGTGTCCCTGGTCAATGCGTTCGCTTTGACTTTACCATTGGGCGACGTGGACCATATTGTAATGCTGTTCGTTGTAGCGGTAGCATCTACCCCTGCCGAAAACATCGTGTGCGACTGGCGTATACAACAACTCAACGGGGTCTCCCGCATATTATATTGGTGCTAATCGTCATTTACTCGAGGCAGACGTTCGCCACTGTCCTGTACAAATTTTGCTTGCTCCTTGCTACTCAATACTTGGATTGTTTTAGCGTACAAAGGGACAGCACATGTTACTTTTCACGCGAAATCTTTTTTCGTGTCAGGCCGGCGCTTCTCTAATCGCAAGCTTGAACCTAACTTCGGCTGCTTTTATCATCCTTTATTGCTGCTGTTATCATCCTCTTTTTGTGCTTATGAGCATGACGCTTTTTGGACACGTTGGAATCTGCCTGGACAAGTGTAGGCGCTGTGTCGGCTAAAAGCAGCATCTTCTTTGTGCCTTGCAAATGGCCTCCATTACATCTGATGTCACGAATGATGAATCTGTGCTACAAATTTTTTCGAGGGATGTAAGGACCATTTTTCATGTTAAGCACGGCATCTTGCTGAAGCAAGTTCTTCTTTTACTGGCGTCTCCATTCGATCCTGTTCTTTTTATTGATGCTATAACTCGCCAACCTATCCTGACAACCTTCTTGTTGTCGCTCTCGTCACTAGACTTAACGAGAGAATTGTTTGAAGGTCGGACAACTGCGGTATTGCGTTTGTCTTCAAATCATTGACACAAATCCAAAAATCCATCAGTTTTTGTGTGTGACTAAATCTGTGGACTAAATGTCTGGGATTCAGTGTACTCGTCTCGCAGACTAAAGTATTTTTGGATTACGTAACAAGTATCTACAAAGATGCCATCAAGTGAATCCCGCTTCTGCGAGGGGAACAAAGCAACTTTCCGTTCCCGCATATGACAATTTGTATGCAACCTAGTTTACGGCCACGTTGGAAAGACTCATCCTAGCTCATTCAAAGCGTTTCATTACAAAAGTCACCGTCGAAGAGACACATCAAGAGACCGTCAGATGGATTACGTAGCGCCAACCACACATCGTCAAAAGCACTCCAAGAACGAGAAAAACGACGTAAACACGCCTGACTTTCGACTAATTCGTCGCAAGCGGCCGCGCACTCCAGAGATCGACCATAATGCGCTGTCAACGCGAGTGTCTCCCGTGAAGACGCCACGTTTGATGATGCTGCCTGGACTTGCGGAGCTGTTGGCTGCACAGAAACAGCGCAACGAGGGCGTTGTTGCTGATGCTTCACTTAATGTGCTGTCATGTGTATCGACTGCCAATCAGGAACAGGAACAACAGATTATAGAGACAGAGGAGGAGATTGAGCTCGAGGACAAGACGCCCTGGCCTTCAGCCAAGCAATACCACGACATCTTCTTTACGCCCAGGACGGAGCTTCAAATACCAGTATACGACGACCTTGGAGTGGACCCTCGTGGCGTTCCACTGCATCCTGAGTTTATATATAGTCAACCAGTATCTTGTATGTATTTCCTGAAGTGCTCTCGCTTGTTGGGAAAGGGTTCCTTTGGTTTTCCTCGTAAGAAAAAGACAGCGGATGAAACAACTCTTACTTCAACCTCTACAGGCAAGAAGCCTGCGGGCAAAGGAGCCAAGAAAGAGCCGAGCAAGGACTTTGAATGGCGGAAGATGAGTTTTGTTACTGGACTGCCTAAGAAACAACCTGTTGTACGCTACATTACAGCTACATGCTATAGTCGTGCAACGGACGTTGCTGCAAAGAAGAAGGTGTTCCGCATGCATGCCGTCATGCTTGCTGATGACAAGGGGACTGGCGAGAAGGGGAATTATGTTCTCGTGCATATTCGTGCGGGAGGGTGCAAGCGCGTTGGTCTTCGTGCTACCTTGGCTGATGCTGAGGGGCAGGCTTTAGCTGATGCTGAGGGGCAGGCTTTGGCTGATGCTGAGGGTGAGGCGTTGGCTGATGCTGAGGAGCAGGCCATGGGACCAGCTTCGCCGGATGCTCATGGAATTGGAAATGCAAAGCAGAAGGCAGACTTGCTGTGTATGGGAAGACCTGTGTCGCCTACTAGCGTTGCAGTGTCTTCGTATTCGAGCTCGACGGCGTCTACTTCTCCTCATAACAAGAAGTTGCTGCACGCGGAGTTTCCCTCCAGTCAGGGCGGGAGCTCGGACCATTTGACGATGGCGTTGACAGGATCGCCGATGAAGGTGAAGATGACATCAACTGTGACTCGGCATTCACTTTTTACTACTTTAGAGGATCCGAATGTCACTTCGGCACGCTTGGCGTTGCGCGATATGATCTTGAAGTCGTGTACGTCGCCAGATGAGATGGCAAAGTATGTCATGGGTCTTCAGGAAGAACTTGCAGCGCTGCAGAGCCAGAACCAGTGAGACGCAGAGCAAGATGGTTTATGTGACAGGTCTCAATCTCGAAACAGTAGCAGTGCTTATCAGGTAGCAGCCAATCGTTTTGTGGCTATGATACTACTACCTCGGGCGGCTGTTTGAAGAGCAATGCCGAAAAGTCATACAGCTGCTGCATTTAGTCGAAGACGAGAGATGCTTGTCAGCGTCTACAGCTGTAGCTGGACCAGATCGCGGCAGTACTCGTTCAGCCGCTCAATCTTCATTCTTACACTTTATAGTATTAGTTCCTCCTTACATCCAAAAGGTTGTTTGCTGTACAAGCACGGACCGCGCCATTAGGTTCAGCTGTTGCGTTAGCCCGACTCTCACTCCCAACTTTCGCTAGCAAGTTCTTTAGCTTATTGAGTGTGGCTTGGACCTTTCAGAAAAACCTTGTAAAGCATACATACAGTATTTTTTTTACACACACGGTCACAGATTTAACTTGTTAGTGAAGTAATAGACGCGGCAAATACAATACGAAGACATACCGTACGATAAGTCTCGTGTTGGCTACGATAACTGTGCTATTCCATCTACTGCTTAACAATAGTGTCTTGTACCAAGTTTCTCTAACGTAGGAGCATATAGTCCTACCCTTAAAGTTTACCGATTGCAAAAAGCTTATCGTCAAACTGAGTTGCGATCGCCGAAGCGTTATCTGCGTTTGCGGGGATGCCACCCGCCGTAGTAACTTCCCCTGGTCTCCCGGCGTACGCCCTGTGGCTACGCGAGTGGTATGCCCGAGACATTACCCCATCCACTTCGGCTCCTGCGAGATAAGATTCCCTTCGAAGTGGAGAAAGGCCGAGGCTTGAGTTGACTAATTTGATCGGAATTGGGTTTGAGACCGTTTGTAACGGTCTCAACGTTACACGTACCCGTTAAGTATGCGATACTTAACGGGCAGGTCTCAACAGGTACGTAAGTATTTAAGACCTGTCGCTCGGGTGAGACACTGTTAGACACTATTGTTGTTGACAGGTTGTGAAGGTCAAGGGCAATACCCTGTCACGCGGTAATTAACAACCTTACCTGATTGACTAAACAGACTTGACGTGCTGACAGATGGGACGAGGCGACGATATCGCCATCAGGATGTTGCGACATATGGGACGAGGCGACGAGATTACCACATCGTCTTGTCGATGTCGTAACAGATGAGACGGAGCGGGATAGACGTGAACTGTAAATGGTATAGTTGCAGTCGGTTTCGCATACATGTGTAAGTATCAACGAACGAGAAAAGTTAATGCTTAATATATATCACCTTTTTTACTTCTACATCTTCTGCAACAAGTGCAGCAACACTACTACCAACTTCTTACAGACACACCATGTGTCACACCCTTGCGTATGTGATATACACTAGGTATATTCACATTGATGGGGATGACGCCCAGCTGGGACTAGGCGTCATTAAATGACGTCAGTCAGTAACGTCATTGAGCGAGCTTAAATATATTTAAGCTCGCACGTTGGGATGCGCATCTATAGAGATGGCACCCATTATTACATATTAACCAATCAGTAATTAGATTTATATTTAGTTAAATTCTATTAAATATAAATCAGTCTTGAATTTGCTAAACACCGAAGCATCACGCACGAGAAGCTGAAAAGCTTCTACGTGACGTCGGTGCCTTCTTGTCTTAGAAGTTCGTTGCACTCTCGCTCAAGCGAGAGGCAACTGGTGGTACGACTGCTTAAGCAGTCGACCAACCTCCTAACCACCCTCGCACGCGAAGGTAAGACGGTCTAACCGCTTCCTCGCTTGTGCTGAAGGTGTGTGCTAGTAGAACGAGGCAACTTCGTAGAAGTGCCCGTCTACATCGTTTCTCTACTCTATGCGAGTCCAAGATTTCGTTCCACACGTTCTTCATCGTGTTTCCGTGAACTTGATCAAAGTCATACAAAGCCTGCGTTTGATCATTTGTGCTCACCATGTTTTGTTCAGTACCCTAGCAAAGCACGCGACGACACGGAAACTTTCACACAAAACTCCGATCAGAAGCGATATTACTCAGGGCAAACTATTGATGCATTTTATAATTACTTTCCATGTGTGTTGTCATTGTCCCCAGTTGTGTCTAAACTATTGCTTGACTGCTAGACCGTTGGCTTTCTATCGATTCTTGTTATGCACAACGTCCATTTGAGGAGAATGATTGCCATCCATTTTTGCTACTCGATAAAAACGTTGCGGTACGCAAAAACACATGCGAATGCGACGTGTGTTCATGTATAAACGAGACGCATGGTGACTTTGTTAAATAATATTGACACTTATATAAAGTGTCAATAAAATAGTATTATAACTAATAATATTCGCTAATAATATAATAGCTTATAATATTGTACTTGCATCTCTTTGAAGGTAGAGATGCCATATAGTTAGTTGATATAGGCCATTACATTCGCCAACGCACTGACCAATGACCGATGGACGCGCACAATGAGTAGAGTGTACGTTGTAGAAGGTAACTTGGATTCTGGCATTCATTACACAGTTCTTCGCGCTCACTATCTGTCGGTCTCTCTCGCTCGATAGCTCTTCACTACCACTCATGCAACCTTCTCACTGCGCTTGCACCATACGATCCAAAAGTCACACGATCCTTCCACTCGTCTCAACTGCTCACGGCGTCGCACACGCCATCGCGACTGCTGCCGTAAGTCGTCTGCTTCTCTCTTCTCCCTGCGTACTGGAACTCAGTGTGCCCGACACTTACTTTTCGCATCTTCAATGCAACCACTGCGATCATGCATTCACACAGAGCGACTTTTTTTAACACTCCTACTTGGGCACCTGTGTCTTACCTCTTGGCGTACTAGCCAACACATAGCAGCCCTCGTAGCGTTGCCATCTTGGGCGGATAGACCACCTTGGTGAGCAAGTCTGCCAGCTAAGTTTTAAGTGCACGTGCTAAGCCTCGATCAAGCAGCGACGAGCGCAGTCACAGAGAAACTTCAATCGGACGTCGAATGTGTTTCGCTTTAGTTGATGTCGCTTCGCCTGGCAAATAGCGGCCTAATTATAGATGCGCATCGTCATTAATAGTTCTGGTTCCATGCCGATGTCACGCAGCAAGTTACGGATTCCTAGCAGCTCCCGTGCCACTTCGGATGCAGCCACGAATTCAGCTTCCATGGTGCTGAGTGTGACGCCACCTTGCTTCTTAGCGCACCAGCTCACAACCATACCGTTGAGTCGCACAACGCCGCCGGTGATAGACTTGCGATCCTGTTTGTCTGCTGCAAAGTCTGCATCACTGAACGACTCGAGCGTCGGTACGTCGCCCGCGTCGCTCTGTGGCACCATATCGATCTTCATTACGATCGTCCCCTTCAAGTATCATGAGATCCGCTTGGCTATTTACCAGTCGTGCACACGCGGTTGGTGCGTCTGTCGTGTTGCTTTGTGTACTGCAAACGACACGTCTGGTCTCGTGCATCGTGTGATTTAAAGTATCGAGCCGAGTTGAGACTGGAACGACCGGATCGGCGCGTGCTTGCCTGTCAAGTAGTTCTCTTTCAGCATCTTGCATACCATACACGTCTGCTCCAATTGGCGAACGCGTGGTATTCGAGTCTTTTAGGCCATGCTCTTGTAGCAACTCGACTATGGCCTCCTCTTGGTCCAACGTAACTCCCATTTGCCGTCTTGTTCACACGCATTTCGAGGAATTTCGCAACTGGACCGAGGTTTTCGATCGATAGGCACTGCATCACGTCGAAAACTGCTTTGCGATTGCCGTAGACATTCCAGTGACAAGTTTGTCGTCGACGTAGACTCCTGCAATCACGAGCTCCGTGTCCACTCACCTGTAGTGTCGCTGATGCACTGCGTGTACCCGCCTTCGACGAGTCGATGATGCAACAGCTGACTCCAGCGTCGGCCGGCCTGTTTGAGACCATAGAGACTTTTGCGTAGCTCTAAAGCCAGGTCATTCGTGCTCGTGACGCCAAGCTCGCGCATGCGCGCCGCTGGTACGTCCATGCCGTTTGGGATGTGCAGTAAGATCTCGAGGTGCGGATCTTTCGACGCTGCGACTTACGCATTCGGTATGTCAACGTGCTGAGCCGGGACGCCCCACGTCGCAGCAAGTGCCAGGATCACTTTCACTGTGGACATATCCATGACCGCAGCAAAGGTCAGGAAGTATTCAGGGCCCAGAACTTGCTCGTTTCCACATGCAGTAAGCGGGCTTTGCGACGTTTGAGCTCACCGTCCGCGGTCGTTTTAGTCTTAAAGACCCACTTGGAATGCAAGACGTTGCTGCTGCTCGGACGACGGACAACTGTCCAAACGTCGATGGACTCGCGAGCCGCGAGCTCCTCTTAAATAACCTTCTTTCAATCCAAACATTGCGTTCTCTTGATCTCTTCGCGGTAGCTCTTTGGATAAAGTTCGAACACGTGGCTCACCACGTCGGTGCTACGAGCGGCCTCGTCTTGGCTCGTAGCGGACTTCTTCGACGCTGCACGTGAGGAGATCGGTTGTATTGTCCACTTATAATTTGGCTTCTTGTCAAACGCCTTGTGCTCACGTTGCGTCGCACGCACTGGCTCTTGAGCGTCGTTGCTGGTGTTCGCATCTGCTCGGTCGTCGATCTCGAGCTCGCGCTGCAATTGTGCTCTTTGCGCTGTTGGCATTGTCTCGATGTTCTTGACATCTTGTGTGAAGACAGCAGTGTTGTTCTTGCGCAAGTAAACACGGAACCCTTTCGTCTTATGGCTTCGACCAACGATGGTGCCGACTTAAGCGCGTAGGCGAACGAGTCCTTTCATTGATCATGGTACACCGTGCGATGCTAACCAAAGACGACAATGTCGCGTAGATCTAAAGCTCGATTCGTTAGGACTTCAATTGGGGATTTGCGCTTAAAGTTTGCGCTAGTCGGGCTTCTGTTTAGTTAGTATGTCACATACGCATCAGCGTCTCCCGAGAACGTCAAAGTGTAATGGGTTTACCTATTGCATAA